ATCAATTGGAATAATTTATTCTCATAATTTGTTTGATTCATAAAGATAAAAATCGAAATTGGATTTAAAATAATCTGGAATGAGATTTTCTCATGGGAGGGAGAGAGAGAATAGCCATTTCCTTAGATGAGGAATGAGGAAATACAATGAAAATGGGATTTCAATTCTACCCAACCAAACAGTTAATCATTGCAATTCCAACTCCAATTATACATCTCTATTCCCACAAACCAAACTGACTCCTTTTTCCTTATAAATTTGTTATAGAGCAGCACCCTCAAATATCTCAGCCGGCCGTGGCCGGTTCTCTATCCTGTTACTTATGGATTCGATGACTTATTTTACACACTTTCAGTGACAGCTTTTCCGCCCCCAGAATAGGTGATATGCAGCCCAAGGATCAGAGACCTTATTAGCTTAGAGTCCTTTGGTTGTCACAGCTTCCATGCTATTCGACCATTTGATCCTGTAGATACTTAGATTAACTGATGATCTAGTGAGAATCCAAGCCCAAAACAATATTTATTATTGCCCTTAAATTTCTGCAAGTATGCCATAAATCCCACAGTAGATAACGACTAGAATAAAAGTTCAAAGGAATGACAAGGGGCGGTTAGTTTGATAATAACTAATGGCTGAACTGAATGACCAACTGCTTTGTATTTTAGTGGGTAAAATAATTATTAAAAAAAAACTTTCGAGTATACAGTGATCAACCAATTTCAGTTTCAGCATGTTTCCTTATTACAGATGGAGGGTCTTTCTGCATTACGTGCATGGCTCTTGGCCTCTTAGACAGACACATTATACAAACGGGGCAAGTTTGGTTTAAATGAAATCTATTTTCCTGTTTTACCACACACACACACAATATTGAATATATGTTTAGAATTTCTCGAGACCCCAGTTGGCCCATGTGTAGTTAACTAATTTATCATGTTTAATTGATTTAATCAAGATTAAAGTATCGGTATCGAGTATCATATCAAATAATTCACATACGGGATACAGATATGGTTATGGATAGGCATAAATATAGACGAAAAATATGAAAATGCATAGATACGCTAAGAAAATACATACAAATTCCATAAATACAATAATATCATTAAATATAAGATCAAAATAATCACAAATAGTATATATAAATACATAGAAAATGTATATTTTAGTGATATATATATATATATATATATATATCAAAAAATATATTATAATTAATATATCAGGATGCATAGATATCATATAATTTTATTTATAATGCACCAATCAAGAGTCCAAGGCAATAAACATATGCACTTATTCTATTTTAATTATAATATAAATTATTTTTATTTTACTTTTTTTTAATTTCTAACATTAACAAAAAGTCAACTAAATATTAAATTCTCAAATACATATTAAAATATTAATTAGTAATTTATAAAAATATAACCTTAACTTAATTTATATCAAATTTTCTAAAATTTATAATATACATATCATATAAAAATTCATAATTTTTAATTACTAAAATAATTACTCCTTTATTTATATAATTTTTCTAATATGAAAAATATCTTTTTGAAATAAATGTAGATTAATGGATTTGATAAATTCAATTTAATGTAATATTCATAAACATTTTATAAACAATATTTTTATTTTTATAAATAATAAATATGTTGTTATTACTTATTAATATAAATTAATAATTTATAAAAATATATAAAAAATTTAATATGCATATTATTTGCAAATTTATAAATTTTAAGTATTAAGATAATTATTTTATTCTTAATATTTTATTTGTATAATTTTCTTGATATTAAAAACCATCTTTTTATATAAACATGGATTTGATAGATTATTTATTGTTTTAGTTTATAAAATACTATTTTTGAATAATATTCTTTTGAAAATTTAGTTTTTTTGTATTTGT